TACGGTGCTGCACGTAGCTTCCTGAAAACATCACAGCACCTTGCCTCAGTATTCCTCCCAGGAGCCCTCAGTCCTGATGCAAGCAGTGGGAGGAGTTATGCAAATATCAAAATGCCATTATGGGAGGATGTCAGTCTGGAGGAGTGGGCGGTCCTATTCAAACTTTACTTGCATGCAGACTGCCCTAGGTAACGCCCACAATGTGACGCTGGGCCTCCATGATTGGAAGAATGTAAATATAATGAATGAAAGGGGCGGGGCCAGGGACAGTCAGGAAATGAGGCGGGGTCTATCTGACTTGCTGCAGCTCCTAATGCACAATGTGAGAAGCTCGCAGTGTGCAGTCTGTGACCCCGTTGGGGAGATTTTCCCTCACTTCCTGTCCTGGTGACATCCATACGGGGGAGGGGTTCAGTAGTCACCAGGACAGGAGGGCGTAGACGTTGTATCTGTGAGGCGACCAGGGACGACCATGACACAGGCGGTGCTCTGCGGCCTCGTGTTTCACCTCCTCACCCCTCTCCTCTTTCTTCTTCCTCCAGTTCGGGACGGAGTGGGAGATCTTCCTGGCCAAGCCGAGCGGCTCCTTCCTGCTGACCTCCCTCCACCACATGCTGCCGATGTCCTTTGGGCCGGAGAACCTGAAGATCTGAGGCGACGTTCTCTTCCTGTACATTCTCTTATTTATTGGGTGCGGCGGGAGGCGCCGGGGGTCTTCCTTTAAATTGTGTGTGTACCCCTTTAAATACATTGAATCTTTCACATACACCCCGAGACCGGCCAACTTATTCCAACAGCGACGGACCAATCAGAACTCACGATGGCTTCTGCCTGTAACAAGTTATACATGCGTGTGGGTGAATCTTCATACACTAGGCCACGCCTCCATATCTGCATCCCAACCTTAGCCCACCCGTTGTGATGAAACTACAAATCCCATCGTCCCTCCGCCTCTGGGTGTCATGCCTGTGGCAGTCAGAGTCTTTCAATGCCTCATGGGACTTGTAGTTCCAGAATAGCTGGTTGCCCGCCCCTGACATCTGTCAGTTTCATGCCAGCCAATAACCATAGAGAAGGGGCGGGCACTGTTTTTTTGCTGATTTGCATAAACCTCTGATCACGGCAGGGGGCGGGGCTAGAACCAGGGAACACGCTGGCTGCAATCTCACAGGCTGGGATCAGGGGGCATTGTGAAGATTCGGGGGAGGGGCTCAGGATTCAATCACCACCAGCGTTCTATCTGCATGGAGTTTGCTTCATTCCATTGGTGGGTGAGGTTGTGGCGGGGATATTAGAGTGTGAGCTCTTCTGCAGCAGGAACTGAACTGCTATACAAAAATAAGATGGAAGGTTTCTTCACACTGTAACGCATGCTCTGGGGGACGTACGACCTGCTATGCCCCCCCTCCCCCACCACCATTGGATAATGAATCATCGTCTCCGTCCAATGAGGTGACCCGGGAAGAAGCAGGAAAACGCTGCGGATTCAGAGCCGGCGCGCCGGTGATGACCGATCACAATATCGCGCACAGATCCGCCGTCTGATATTCATTCGACTTTCTGCAGAAACGGGAAAGGAATGAAATTGATAATTTATTGCCGCACTCCAACCCCTCCCCCGCCGTGTGACTGTGATGAGGAAATCAGTGGAGCAGCCCGGGGTGACAACGCTGCTCCTACATAGATGCAGCACTGTGAGCGTTGTCACCCTGGGACAGGAAGTGTGTCACTGGCAGGATCACCGGGAGAAATGAAAGGGAAACACACTTTTAAAGAAGAAAACTAATGCAGCCACTATATCTAAGGACTGGAAGGTATGGGGGGGGCAGCCACCATATCTAAGGACTGGAA